CTCGCCCGGCTACGTCGCTGAGCTTCGAAGGAAAAGGTTCGCTCGGCACGGCGTCGGAGAGCAAACGGCGGCGTTCGTCCTAAACGGAATGCTGGACGCACGTCGGCAAGTGGGCCGATGACCAGGCGGGCTGCTGCTCAGAATCTGGGCCCTCTTGGCGCTCGCTCTCGCGCTCTCCATAACGGCTTTGCCCCCTCCCTCCTGCGCCGACGTTGGGCAGCCCGACCACGACAACGCCAGTGCCGCCGGCCTGCAGCTCGAGGCGCCGTTGAATGAGCACGAGCCGGTGCGCGGCGGCGGCGCGGGTGATGCAGCCCAAGGTGACGACGACGGCGGAGGGGGCGGTGGCGGAGGGGGCGGCGGCGGAGGGGGCGGCGGCGGCAGCGGCGACGGCCGCGGGGTCGGCCCGCCCGCCTTTGCTGCTGGGCTGTGGGCATCATCACAGCTCAACGTGAAGTCAAGGCGCGGAAGCTTCAGTGGGCACTTTTCGCGTCATTTGCCACGCATATAGCGCCGCGGACCGGTCTACCCGACCCGCCCCTGATCTTGCTCTCTTCCTCGACTCGACCTTCCGCGATCTTTCTCGACTCGACCTGATGCTGAGTTCCCGCACCAGCCTGCGGACCAGCGCAGTTCAGTGGCAGTGTGCAACCAGGGCCAGTGGTAGACAGTGGACGTGCGTGAGGCTGCTCTCTGAGCGATGACACTAGCAGGGGCATCATGATTTCCATCGGAGTCACTTGTATTACGACGCCGCCACGCTCGCAAGGGCCGCCTAAGCGCCTAAGCACCCTAAGCACCCCCCCCGCTTAGGCCGCTTAGGCGCTTAGGCGAGTGACGGCCGGCTGCCCGGGGCCTGGCGTGCCTCTGGGTGGGGTGAGCGCCTGGAAGAGCCACTCTGCAAGTGGTGTGCGAGCGTGTAGCCTTTAGCGTGCAGTCGGCCGTGTGAGGTTGCCAACTGCACTCTCCAAGTGATCCAAGTGCGCTCGCACCACTGCAGACTGCACTGCACTGGACCTCCCGTAGTAGAATTAGTACCGCAGAGACATGGGGAACGGGTTGCCGATCGGCAGCTTCGTAGAAGCCCGACGACGGTAGAGTTCCCTTTCTCGTCGACGCGAGATGTGCGGTGCCCTTCCCCTCACACGAACGTCACAACGATATCTACGAACTGCGGCAGCCTCACTACTGGGCCCGATGCACAATCTTGAGGCCGTCTTGCAGCGCCGTCGTGTAGTCATTCAGCGCCGCCACCAGCTGCTCCTCGGAGGCAAGCCGCGCCTATTCACACGGCGCGAATGCTTTCCTCGCTGCATGGCCGCGCTGCAGGCGAGGGCGATGCGCGCGTTCGTCTCCACCCCGAGTGCGCTCTCGACGGTTGCCACCTTTTGGCGTGAAAAATCCGGGGTCAGGGCCGGGCTTGAGGCTCGAGATGAGTGGGTGCAGAAAGGGTGACGGCGTCGGGCTGCCTTCCGGAAGACCTCCGCCTTGAAGACCTCATCTGCCTTGTCGCGCACCTCGAGCGCCGCCGCAAAGTCGTCCTTCATTAGCACGATCGCCGCCTC